CAACGTTTTGTAGGTAGCAACAAAATCCTAAACAGAATATTCATTTAATGAAAACCAAATAAAAATTGAAGTGAACAAATGCATAGTCAAAACAGAAAAGTATAAATTGTCAATTCCGAAACATAAATCACAATATTCAAAAGGTAACGAAAGATGTTGGGATCTGTGGTGTATAATCAGAGCAGCAGCACCATTGGCATATGCCATATCTCCTTCCCTTCCCTCAGGTGAGATACTAAGATAGAAAAGCAACATACGACAACCCAAGGTAAAAAGTTTCGTATTATTTTTTGAGCATAGCCAACCATTAGCGTTTGTGCCTCACGCATTGCCAGGGTTTAGGTAAATTTGGCCAAGGGGTAAGAGAGTAGCGTTGTGACACGCAGCCAGCTTAAGAATTCATATCGCACAGACTTTTATATCCCAACCTAGTGATAAGAGCTGGCTCGCGTGGACAGCAGGGAATACAAGTAGCTGTTAGTGGCCTACCCTGGCATCATCTAAGAGATACGTATATGTATTTATACCTCCATTTAGGCACCCACATACGCATCTGCCAAACGCTTTATTGAGTGTTGGCTTTGGTAGTTAGTGTCGTAGAGGATTACGACCATTGTTTTAGCTATTTATTTAAAGTCTAGCGATAGATAGTTCGGTAAGTATACCATACTTTTATGCACATTCTTGAAACAAGGCTTACCTTTTCAATTTTTGATTATTATTATTATTGTTGTTATTGTTGTTATTATTAATAATGGTGCTGCTATCCACAACGAACTGTTGTTGCTGCTGCTGCTGTTGCTGTTGTTGTTGCGGCGTAGTAGTTTCGGCTAATTTTCCAAAACAAATGTTACGGCTATTGTCGCGTACCATGTTTCGACAACGGAACATTCGCAGCAGAATCTTCTTCTATTTAGGAGGAGCATTGCGTCGTATGCCGCGAATGGAGGGGCATCATTTTAAATGGGCGCCCTCCTTCCCATTAAACATTATGCACTCTTTTTATATATTCCAGTGTGAGGATTGTTACGATACTCGGCTTGCTTGATTTAAGAACTTTGATGGGATGGATATCTTTCTTTTATTTTCTTTGGTAAGATTTCCGCTTCACTTGCACATTTTTAACACTGTATAACGAAATGGGGATAATAAAAGATACAGGGAATAGGTGGATTAGATCCAGCTTGCACTCATTTTTATTTAACACTGCACGTGCACTTTATATGGAAGCCATTTCTTTGTGATTACATTATTTGACTTCTTCTTAATGCAATTTACTTTTTCCACTAATTTTTTTTTTTCCACTAATGCCAATTTGCCTTAATTTACCAACTAAAAATACGCTTTTAATTTAATTCAACTAGAGCAATTTAAATTTATTGAAATTTCAATGGACCCAAGATGTGTTCTCCACTTTTGCCTCAATTTAAGCGAGGAATACGGCATGTACTGAATATACATATATACAAAGATAAACTTCTTGTATAGGGCCATTTCCTCTGCAACAATACAAATGCGAGAAGGTGGAAAATGCGAGCAGCGACGTCAGCAGCGCGTTATTATAATCCCCCAACCCCCATTCCCCGTAAAGAGGGTTGGTGGTACAGCATGTTAAAATTCCATGCACTAAAGAAGCATGGAAACTACAAGAACAACACACAGTCGACGCTGAAGTTTGGCAACGTTGCCGCCAAGCGCCATTTCGCTTGCTCTCGCTCTGCCTCGCTGCGGCTTTCGTGAAATGAGGCAACGTCGCTTTGTTTGCTTATAATTGACGTTTGCCGTCTGACGTGGTTGCTAGAGCGAGATAGCCAGCTGTTGTTGCTGCTTCAGCGCACAAAGTACATAGGGTGTTTGGGTTTGTGTGTGCGTGCTATATACTCGTGTACATAAAGAATTTATAGCTGGTACTTTTTCTCGTACATGGAAAACGAGAAACTCGCTGTGTATTTATAAATGGCTATGTGGTCATGTGGTGCGCTTCTTTCGCTTTGTTATTGCACGTTCTTCCATAATTCGTGTAGTTTTGTAGCTCTAAATCTCCTACGTATTTTCTTTTGGGGCGCAGCAGGAAATCACCCATACATCTGTCAATTTCCCTGTTGGTGTGCGTGAGCGAGAAGCTCTATTATTGAGTGCCCTATGTGCATCTCGCTCTGATGCACGGAATAGGCCCCATCGGTGCCGTGAAAGTTTCTTCGCTGCCAACGTCGCTGTTACCGCGCTGCTCATCCAAACTTGGGTTCGCAGTGGTACGCGATTTCAGTCGCTTTGCAGAACTGGTGGGGTGCGGCTCGCAAAAAGTCTATACCATAAGGACACCCACACGAAAGTCCCAGCTAATTTGTTAATTGGGCAGCGAGGATAGAAAAAGATCATTCCGAAATTTAGCCAAATGCTTGTCATTATTTTGTTTTGTTTTTTGGTTCGCCATGTACATCTCTTTAAATCTTCATCCCCTCTAGAGGAGGAAAAAACCCATTAAAGTCAGGCGATTCAACTAGAACTCATGAATATTGTCAGCAGCAGCAAAGAGAAAACCAGTTTTAGTATGTATTTAGTAGTATCTGCTTCTCGTGTTGTGGCTACGTGACCACACACCAACACCAACAGTATTTACTAGAAAGAGAGCGCTAACTTTGTAGTTTTCCTCTCCCCAATCTCACAGACAAACGGGGTGCTCTGTGCGCACGCACACAAAACGGGTTAAGTAAGAAAATAAAAAACAAAGAAAAACGCTGTACTACATCGCTTCATCCCGCTCGCACAGCAGCTGAATCGATTTTTCAAACGACACGACAATTTCTCTCCACCCCACCTCTCCTATCTGTTGTCTCGCTCTAACTCGCGCAGCGACTGATGCCCCCTCCCCTTTGCTCCCATGCGTTGTTCGTTTTTGTAGTTTGGAGTCCGCGCACACACGCAGTATTTATATTTATATATACGGGTTATATATAGTCGCCATGTTACTTTTTCGAACGTTGGGGGAGCTGTCAGCCTGGATTTTTCGCTACAAATTTCCAACGTCTCTCACTGACGCTGCTGCCGACGTCGCCATCCCAGCCCGTTGCACGTCATCCGTTTCAGTATGTATGTATGTGTGCTTTGAATTTCTGATGAAATTCTTTGCTTTTGAGTTAATTGCTGCCCGCCGTCGGCAGCAAAAAGCCTCTGCCTCGGTCACTGCCTCTGCCGGCGTCGCTACCGCCGAGCTCACATTTTTTGTTGTGCCAATTTTCTTTGTACTGGTGTTCTACCAATTGCTTTAGACCGCCCGAAGAAGAGGAAGACATTTTTGCTCTGAACTGAAAATTTTCTGGGAGTATTGGACGATTTTAAAAGACATTTCTAACCTGACTTTTGTCCGAAATAAACTAATGCCTATTTATATAGGTCCACTTAAGTTGGTCTTGCTTGCTAAGAAAAAATTATAAATATATCTCACAAAAACTGTATTGAAAACATTTTTTACTTTGATTATTCATAAGGCTTTTTAGTTGATAAATTATGGCATTTTTTAGGTACGGGTTTATTTTCCTTTTACTAGACATTTAGTTATGCACTTCGTTAAACACATACCCAAATTTCAAAATACGTGGGCTTTCATTGGGTAATCACATTAATTTCGTGAATGGATTAATTTCTCCATTTAAGTTGATTTTCAACCGAGTTATCCTTTCTTACCATTTGCGTTGAGAGCTGAAACGAAATACAGATAGTACATACGTTATTTATAGGATATCCTCCTTTGAGTTATAACACTACTGATCTTTTCTTGAATTGAAAAAAAAACTACTTTAAAAAACGTGTTTAGTAGCTTAGTTATACAAATATAATAAACATGCGGTTTTAATCGCTTTCCCTTTTTATATTTAAATTGTTTACAATAAATAATGTTTTCAGTACTCACACCATTGAAGCTGCTTTTCTAGGCTGATCGTGGAATCCTTACTTGCTGCCTTAGTTTATTATTGTAAACTCGATTTGGACTTTATTCGAAACTGACGCATTTTACACGTTATATTTCGAGGCAAAAGGTTTTGGTGAGCTATTTCGATAATTTCCAAAAAAGGTATCGACGCGACCGTTGAGTTTTGCCTTTTCTACGTGTCGAACCGAAATAACCGAACCGAGTCCAAATGTACCGATTTGATTTTATTTAACACTCGGTGTATTTTACGGTATTTTCCCTTGTAATTTATTCACTCTGGGTTAAAAGGTGACTTTTTATTCGGCAAAGGCATCACAAAATTGATTGGGAAACAATAAAAAAATTAAATTTTTATCATTCAGTAGGCTTTTCTGCTTGATCAATTTACTTTTGCCTGTTTTTTTCTTGTATTTTATTGTATTTCGATTAACGCTTACGATATTCCTCTCGCTGATGTTGTTGTTGCTGGTGTTGTTGCTGCATCTGCCTTCGTATTGGTGAATTAATGCATTTTCGCACACAAAAACACTCGCGCACACACACACTCAGATATATAGCAGCCGCTGCTCACACACACACTAAGAAGGGGAAGGGGTGGTGGCACTTGCCTTTTTCAGATAATAACAATTTATTTTCGCTGTGTGTGTTTTGGCGGCGTTTTGTTTAATCACCCGCCGCCGTTGTTGTTGTACTGCTTTTTTTTTTGTATCTCGCTGCAAACGACGCGCGCGGTCCGTTCACTCCAAAAATTTTCAAAACAATGTGACCGTAAGTGATGCTCTCAGTGAGGCCGACACAGTGTGGCCGCATCAGTATACTATGGAAATACAGAATACTTGATTAAATACCAAAAATATACTAAACTTTTACTATTGCCCATTACCCAAACCATTAACATAGGTCTTTCAACAGAACTATGTTAAGTGCCTGCCCTACATATTTGGTTCTATTTAATGTTAGCATTTATTTAAATACCCGAATATTCGTTGTCTCCGTTCTCTAGCTCTATTTATCGTTTTACTATAAACAGTTTAAATGTATAGCACATATCAAAGACCAACAAAACATAGCTTTATGGGGTAGCCAAAGAGGCACCTCTGGTGTGTTGGTTATCGTTATCGCGGTCAGCAGCTTGTTTTGTTTTGCTTACACGACACATAAATAAATAAAAGAATAATATGAGTAATTTAAAATCGGACCTGGACGAATACTTGCTGCTGCAAAGTGATCAGAAGAAACCCAATTTCAACGTTAAGTTGCCACAGCTGAAGGTTCCATTTTTTTCCAGCTCCGACCCAGAAGCAAATAGTTTTCTAAAAGATACGGACTCATGTTTTCCAAAATTGGTGGGTTTATCAATCTTTGGTGCACTCAGAATGGGCCAATTGCTAATATGAAATTCTTCTTTTAAAACTCTTCCAGTCTCGCCTGCAGCGAATCGTGGGTTTCGTGGCCTGCTTAGGAATGGGCGCACTGTGCATGACCCTTTCCACGTTCTACATTCCCTTCCTAATATTGAAGGCCAGAAAGTTTGCCTTGCTCTACACCCTTGGCAGCCTCTTTTTCATCTTGAGCTTCTGCTTTCTCTCCGGATTTGGATCCTTTTTGAAGCAGATGTTCTCCAAGCCAAGACTGCTCACCTCGCTTTCGTATAGTTCCTGTTTGATTTTAACTTTATACTGCGCCTTGGTGGCCAAAAGCACCGCATTCACGGTCCTCTTCGCAGTGGCCCAAATAATTGCATTGCTCTTTATGGTTCTGGGCACAGTCCCTGGCGGAGCCACGGGGCTCAAGTTCTTCGGACAACTCTTCAAGAGCACCGTTTCCGCTTCATCAAGTGTTCTACCTGTGTAAAATAAAGTGAGGGTTAACTGAAAAGAAGCTCAACCACCGCAACCACTGAAAAGTAACTTATTAACTACTTGATGAATCTAAAATAAAACTTATTTGTGATACCATGCTCCTCTGAACTTCACGGTAACTCCTGTATACATCATTTATTTGCAGGTCTGTCATTTCATATTTGCTTTTTACTATCAGCAAAATATATGTAATTTTCATTTGAAAAATGGAAAACTTCTGCCACGTTTCTATATATGTACATACCTACAGACAACTGGAGTGTTATGCATATTTCGTCTACACATTTTATACTTTATTGACTGCCACATAGTGAATTCACTTATTTTGTGTTCAAGAAATCATCAAGAAGTATAGTGAGTTTAAACTAACTGTCGCTTTCGCTCTTTCTGTTTGAAATGGGTCATTCATCGATCTCTCCCAGATACAAGGTCTTATCGCTGGATCCAGAAAGAATTAGAGGCTCTTTTGGGCTGAAATCCACGGCATTAACACTGCCATTGTGTCCGGGCAGTTTGTAGAGGATTCTCCTTGTATTTACATCCCAAATATAGACATGCCGATCGGCGGAACCCGATGTTATTTTATCGCTTCCCGGCGACCAAGCGCATCGCAGCAGATTCTTCTCAAAATTGTGCTGATGGCCTTGGAAAACCTTTACACATCTTTCCCCGGGTGCATAAGGCCTCACGTCCCACACCCTCAAGGTGTTATCCATTGCATTTGTCAAGATAAAGTCTCCTTCGGGGGACAAGGACATGCCGGTTATCGTGTCCGAATGCCCTCGCAAATGGTGCAAAACAGCCTGTTTTCGTATGTCCCAGATTTTGACTTCGTTGTCGATTCCGCCGCTAATTACTTGTTCGCCAGTGTCACCAAAACAAACCGCTGTGACTTGAAAAGGGGATTCCAGAGTGTGCGCGGCGTGTTTCTTCCTGGCATCCCAGATCTTTATGGTGCGGTCATCGCTGCCCGAGCAGAGGAGCTGCTGACCCCTACGCGAGCCTTGAACGCTGTTCACGAAGTTGCCGTGGCCCTTGAACCGCCGTTGCCGCTGTCCCGTGGCTATGTCCCAAATAGCCAGCGTTTTGTCAGTGGAGCAGGTAAAGATGTGCGATCCATCCGGCGTAAAGTGGGCTTCCATTACTGCACCACTGTGTCCTGACATAGCCATCACATTCTCGCAGTCGTCGTACACTTGCCAGATGTCTGAAAACCACATTAATTGTTACATGCTCTTTCTATAATCAAAGATGTCCAAGTACTACGAATTCATTTCTGCCCACAAATATGTAAGTAGGGGTCACAAATCGTAGATACACAAGGAACCATTGAGCACCCAAAAATAGGAAAGTAGGGCTCACAAATCGTAGGCACACACGGAACATTGCAGTCATTTATTCCCAATTTTACTTACATATTTGCCTATCAAACCCAGATGAAAGCAGTAACTCCCCCTCGGGATGGAATTCCGCTGTGAAAATCTCTCCCTCATGTCCTTCCAACTGCATTATGGGCGCCTGCAGGTTTGAGGTACGCCTCACTCCCTAAAAATAATGGTAATAAGTACAATTGAAGTAACATCAAAATCACTGAGATGTTTAGCATGCTTCTTCTTGCTAGCACGCTTACCGATTCAAGGAGCGCTTTATCCCTGTTTGTGTAGGCCACCAGATCATTTTTGCTGCGCTTTGCCTCCTGGGCCAAAACCACGCTATTATTGGGTCTTTTGGTACCCATTATAAATATTTTGTTTGTAAAAACTGAAACCTTATAAAGTTTTTTCGGCCGCTCAAACAGTATTACAGTGTGGCCAGAGTTCAGAAATGAATATTGCCGTCATAACTGTTAGCGTCAAAATCTAGCTATTTCTCAGCAGATGTGGCTACTTTCAATGAGAAGAGATGGAAGTGAAAGTTGGCAACTCTGGCAAAAATACCGAAAAGATATTACCAGAATTATGTTTCTCTTTTTTATTTTTACACAATATGCGGATTTACAATGTGGAACTAACCAAGAAAAAGGGTCTCCGTCTAATAGGCATCCACGCGTGGAGGATCCGCAAAAAATTCCTCTCCCTTACGCTCTCCCTTGAGCCACTGCTTATAGCGCTCGTTTCGCATGGCCTGAAAGAGGAATTTATAGCATTTTAGACATAATCATAGCTCGATAAGGATATGCAACTACGGGAAAACCCACATGGAAGCGCATCAGTTGCTTCTGCATGCCGACGCACTCCTGAAAGTCGGAGATCAGGTCGGCGCACTCCCGTTTTCCACGCTCCAGGCCATACGCCTCGAAGCACTCCATCATCTTCATCTCGAATTTTCCGCACTTGTCGTAGGTCTGGTGGTTAATTAGGCACCCGGTCAGATCGGTTAGGGGCAGGCGTAGAAAGGGAGTAAGCGACATTTTGTCTGTGGAGTGAAATACACACAAATTCAGTTCGGTTTTGATGCACCACTGTTGTTCACTGTGACGTAACAATAAACAATGGGTTTAAGACTTGCAGCCAATTAGCTGTCCCAGGCCCAGAACAACTTCTTCCTGTACTCCCTTCAATGTTTAGTTGGGTTTATCCTTATCACACACCTTAAATTGCTGGCAATACCCAAGGAATTGTCTTATATCGCCTTAATTCCAGCACAAAAACAAGACTGTCATCGATTTCTGATATCGGGAAGTGTTTTTCGAGATGCGACAGCTGATAGTGTTGATAAGCGCGCGAACCGCTTCCACGTTTTGTTTATAAATTGAATTTTCCGAGAAGCTATGAAAAACCAGGATTTGGTGGAATACTTAAGGTCGTGCGGGGTGTGCGAAATTTGCCAGCTGCGTTACCTGAAGGCCAGAGGCGCGGAGTATAGAAACATCAATGAGACTTTGCAAAAGGTGAGAGAGCGGTTTACTTTTAATTTTTTGACAACTAATTGATGTCTGACTTATCCGCTTAAATGCCCAGCTGGATGTGAAACTGAATGAATACGTCGAGAACGAGGAGCTTCTAATATCCGCAGAGAATCAACCAGCTAAAAGGGCTCGTCTGAGCGTCTGTTCAACGTGCTTGGGCTTATTCTCAAAGGACTTTCAGAATGAGCTGCTCAGCAGCATTTTGGCATCGGATTTTGCGAAATACGATTGCCAGAAAATCGTTTTGGCCATTTGCTTACCAATGTCACTGCAGTTGAGACAGCTGGCCATGTGGTTTGCCCTGCGGCGAAGGTTCGGATCATCAATAGACGAAAACATTCCCCCAGACGTGCCCATAAAGGAGGCTGTCAAGCTGATCCTACACCCTATAATCTGTGAAAAGCTGGCCAAGGGCTACGATGCCAACGGTCTGATGATCAATATAGACCTCACGCACAATCTGGAGGACGGAGAGGTGGAAAAACTGGTGAAATTAAACAAGGAAGCCTTTCCCGCCAAGGCTTCGCATCAGAAGCGCATTGAAATTTCGAGAGGTTTACTGGAGAAACAGTATCAACCCTCCAAGGTTAAGGCGGAAACCTTTGAGAAATATTTTCAGATACCCTGCCCGAACGCAGAGGAATCAATAAGACTTACTTCGATAGAGCTGCAGGGTCCCCTGGTTTGTGTAGCTGGCAGATATCGGAAGCTGAGCAGGGAACTTTCACATACTCCCTGGATTTTGAATGGCAAGAGGCTAATGGAGGACAGTATCGAGGAAATTATAATCAGGCATGTCGGTCCCCACTTCACAGAGAAGCTGGGTAAAATCACATTCATGTCGAGTGGTAGAGAAGATGTGGATGTCCGATGTCTGGGGAAGGGAAGACCTTTTGTTCTAGAAATTCCAAATGCAATAAGGAGCTGCTTAAGCAAAGATAAGGCCTTTGCGATGGAACGGGCTGTGGATGCATCTGGTATGGTGTCTATACATAACCTCCAGGTCGTGCCCAGAGAAGAACTAACCCACATAAAGACGGGAGAGGAGCAGAAAAAGAAATTCTATCGCGCTCTTTGCGCCCTGCAAGAACCAGTATCAGTGAAGATTCTGGAACAACTGCAAATATCAGCGAGCTTTGACATACAGCAAAAGACCCCCATACGAGTTCTTCATCGTCGTCCTTTGCACACGCGTCCCAGAACGATTTACAGTGTAAACGCCAAAGTGCAGCGTGGAAATCCGAAAGCCTTGATCATCGATATTGTCACTCAAGCGGGCACTTACATCAAAGAATTAGTTCATGGCGAATTCGGCAGGACCTCGCCATCGTTGTCCTCGATCATAGGCAAACCCATAGACATTCAAGCTCTAGATGTGGTGGGAATCGATTTGGATTGGCCCAATGAAGTAGATAACTCCATACAAGAGGAATATTAGGTACACATCCATTTAAATGTTATACGTTAAACACATAATTTGCAAAAGGTGCAGCAGAATAAACAACAGAATCTAGTGACGAACCTTGAATGAAATTTGATAAGTAATGTTGATTGTAGGACTTTCAGTACAAAATCATCAAAAAGGGTGATTACGCAGTTTATGGATAGCCCCTTGCTCTGTTCATTACACCTTGTCCAGTATTATTTCGTGACTTCGAGTCCCGATCCTTTAAATATTGGTAACAGAGTAAGGCTGCGAGCCAGAGGACAAAGCTGACATGCGCAGTAAACGTACTTCTGAGTCAAGTTGCGTGTTCTCAGCAGAGGCAAGTTCCACCATTGGCTACAAAAGTATGAAGCAAGCGGACAAATTCGGCATTCGTTGCTAGCGAGTTGCACTGGTTTGTTATGGCCAAGTCAAGTGGTGTGGATACAAATTGAAAGTGACCGAGAATAGTAGCCAGGTCGCTTGCAGCCGGATGCAAGCGTGCGGGACAATTAAAACATAAGCCCGTGTGCGCAATCGGCAGGCAGTTAGTTAGATAATTGCATTTCAAAAGAGAGGCCCAGTATGTTCTTCCGGCGCGTTCTGGATAGCGCCAGAAATCTTTCGCCCCCTAAGTCCACCACGGAAAGTCCGACAGTGCATTTTTACAGCGAGGACAGTGAGAGTGTCACATATGTGAGTGGTGCCGTCGACAGTGAAGTCAAGGACAGCAATAACAACCAGTCAGCAGTCGGTGCGGGTGCTGCACTGCCTGCCATAATGAAAATTCAGCGCCGAGCGGAAGCCCCAATCGGTGCAGTGCAGCTAACGCCACTGTGGGAGCACATACTCCGCACCCGCCGCCTGCCGGAAACCATTTTCCCTAGCGCCATGTACGCGGAGTTCCATGAGCGCCTGCAGGACCCAGAGTGGCAGGTAAGGCAGCACGCCCTGCGAGTCCTCGTCGACGTCCTGGTGGTGATGCAAGACGAGGCCGATGGCCACATGGAGCGGGAGCAGCTTATTGGCCTGCTGGTCGAAAACCTTGGTCACCAGGCCCCCACCGTGCGCAAAGGAGCTCTCGACTGCTTGCGTGTCTACCTCGCCGAAACTGCAATCCCGGAGACGATTATGCTGGCAATCCTGGACGCAGGCCTGACGAAGCAGGCGCCTGCGGATTCGGAGCACATGGGTCGTCTCAGCTGCGGCGTTCTGCTGTCCGTGCCCGCCCTTCTGCAATCAACAATGCATACGGCGCAGAGACACCGCATCATGCATAGCACTCTGGAGCGAGTGGTCGCACACATGGATCAATTGGTGCAGCAGGAAATCACCCTGAAAGTCTTGAGCAAGATCAGAGAGCTTTTGGGAGTTCACGAGTTCGAAGCCATTATGAGCGATGTGGGTCGTGGCGATACGCTGACTAAGTACTATCAACTGTGTCAGGTCTACGGGGTCTCTGGAAAACCGAGAACAGGCGGCGATGGGAAAACGGGCGCCTGGCGCGCCTTACCACGTGAGCAAGGATGGAGAAACAGCAATGCCGTACAGAACCTGGACACCACGCTCCAAGCCCAGTCAAACTGCTCGGACATGGGAAAGATCATTATGGAAACAGAAATCAAGATCAACGATGACACAGTGACCATGCGGATCCTGGAGGCGGATACCGAGACCGAAGAGTCCGATAGCCCAACCAGGATTTTCCCAAATGAGGAAGATGGGACGGATTTGATTTGCCACCCCCTGTCGTCCAGTGGCAACAGCCTCCAAGAGCCTCACATAGGGGCGGGGATCGTGAAAGTTATAAGTGATTCAGAATTGGACGAGCCGCACATCAAGGCGGGCAGTGTTTCCGAGCCGGGTACTCCCTCTCGGGGATTGAAGCGAGTAACCTTCGGGGGCGAGATCGTTAAGATGCGAACTCCTGATAGCGACGCAGCCTCCTCTACAAACAATTCCCGAAGCCCTACCCAGACCAGCCAGAGTGTCACTATTTTCCCCTCGGAAGATGCAGCGACCTCATCAGAGGAGAAGTCCGCCCTTTCAAGACCCGTCAGCGACAAGAGGACAACTGCGCTCGTGGTGGAGATCCCTTTGGACAATACCAAGCCATTGCCTCAAGTCCGATCTTTCTGCTCGCAGCCACCCCGGCATCAGAGCAATGCACCCAGTGAGCCGCCATCGAGCAGTCCCCGCAATCGACAGGAAAACGAAGCACGGCTGTCGCCGTCACCTAGCTCTCCCGGCTTTCGCAGCCGCAGCGCTAGTCCAACGGGAAGCAACAACATCAGCCCCAAAGTGCCGCACAAGCAAATCGAGGTTCTGCACAATTTGCAGCGGGATCCGTCGCCGCGGTCTCAGCGCCGCTCGGAAGACATGGACGGTAGTGGGGATGGTAAAGCCCTTCCTGCACCGGCAAATCCCTCTGCCTCATCCACACAGCCGCTTACTGGTCGAACAAGATCGGCCTCTACGATGTCTCCTGTGTCACCGGCCACGCCCAAATCCTGGGAGGATCTGGACATTGTCAACTTAAAGACGCTTATGGAGTTGCGATCTGGGGTATGTTCCTAAAGCGTGATGACCAAGTCCCAGTAATTGCATTAAAATTAGTGGCCGACATTTAGCAATCCCCGTGTAATTGCACCCCTCCACCCAAGTCTCCAGCATGGTCTACTTTGTGCGACCGAAAATAAAGCAATGAAATCACTCCACACGCTACTCCAACGCCAACGCGGGTTCCGGGTCGCCCGGCGCTTCGGGCTCTAACTGGGTCAGTAGGATATGTACAATTTCATATGCGTTCATAATTCTGCCTTCATAATGGCAGCCGCCCGGCTTTATTGCGGACGAGACACGCATCACTCCCCCCAGTCGGTAATGCTATAACGGCTGCTATTATATCGCTCCTTACTAATGAAAATTTCAGCGATAAGCGACCACTCTCCCCCAGCTGGCACTCATATCGGCGGTGACTATGGGTAGAAACCCACTCGTGATGGCTTCTCTCGGGCCACTGTACCAATGACCTATTAATTTTTCTACGTCCATGTCCATGTACTTGGGAGTTGAAGAGAAAGAGTTGGAAATATTTGTTACACGTCGAACAAGTAGTACAAATCTTTCCAGAAGTTATTCAAAGTGACCAGGAAAATGCTTTTTGTTTGTTGTTATCCATGGCACGTGCATTTTTGACTGGTTTTCGACTCAAACGGAACCAAGTTTTCTATGTTCTCCCTGCCTGAAAAGTTAGTTTGAGCAACTAATTCAATGTAATGCCAAAAATGAATGGCGAAAAGGGAGAACATTGCCGAAAAAGTGCGTCAGCAAAATAATTCGTGATTTTACAGTACTAAGGGTTGGCAATTGCTGGCTCAGATGTACCTCTTATCAGGACCAACTTTTTGAGTGGTGCACAAAAACTTTGGGATTCCGGTGGCAGTTGCATGTTGCGCGACTGGGCGTTGCATTGGACTGGGATGGATTGCCTTGCTGGGGAGCTGCGGCCGAACAGCAAAGAGTTCCTCGCCAGTGCCGTTGCCGGCTGGTCAATCATTTAAGTGCACGCGATTTTCAAAGCACCAGGCTCAAAGAACCAGGCTCAGAAACAAGAGCAGCAACAATAACTGACTCCCAGCTTGCAGCTTGTATGCGACGATAAAGTGGCAAGACTACCATTACGGGACGAAGTTGGATGAAGACGCTGGCCTTAGGGGAAAGGGCGAGGGAGCAGAGCGTGTCTGCAACTGGGTCACTTCAGGTACAAAAATATAAATAACATTAATGAAAATCATAGCGCGTGCTAAATAGAAGCAGGATGGTACGTCGCTGTTGACCGCTAGCCTTTGGGTTTTTCCTTGCTTGGACAATTTCACAACTATTACTAAACCCGTCACTTGTGGGGTAAAATGGTGTACTAAATTCCTTAAAAATCATATAAGAGGTATATAAGAGGTGATGATCAGCATCGCTGGTCGTGCGATCGCGTGAAATATAGTACATGCATTTCTTTCGCAGTATTAAATAATGATACTTTTGAAATCTGTTTCTTTAAAATGCAATCTATTTTTTCTAAGTGCACAATGAGTCACTGCGAGATAAAGTCAGTTGTATATCTGGAGTATGTACATAAGTACGCGATTTTCCCAAAAGAAAGTTTCTCAATTGACGTTTATGGCACCTACAGTAGTCGTTGTTATAAGTTTTCACACTCAGTTTTATATCTAAATTCTGCGGCATTCATTTTCGAATTTGCCAAATTAGCAAAAATGGGCCATAAAACACTAGGCACGCCAAAATGTACTTACCGATTATTCACTTCTTTGCTCACTTTTTATTCACTTTTCTGTAGGATTGGCGCAATCGTCTAATGGGCATCGGACAACTGGAGCTTGCCTTAAGCTCATCGAGCAACTTGGCCCTGGTCCAACCGTATCTGGATAGTCTGCTTCGAACCCTCCTCTCCTCGGAGCGTCACTTTGAGGTTGCCGAGCTGAAGCGAGAGCTTCTGGTTAACCTGATCTCGCGGCTGCCGTTGGACAACTTGGAGGAGCGCACACCACAAATCTTGTCGGGACTCTGTCGCCAGGGCAACGCTGGAGCGAACCGGGTGTGCAAGGCCCTGATGCAGCGCCTTCCCGCGGGAACCATTGTTGCTAAGCTGACCTCTCCAGAGTTCCTGCATGCGAAGAGCTCCAAGGTTTATTATTCAGCATTGCACGAACAAAATTATTCATCTTCTTGTACTCCAGTTCCGGGACCACGCTCTTCAAATGTCCATTTTTGCACTGATGACCTTCCCGGGCACCTGCTTCGACATCAGCCTGTTGACGACGCAGGCCGTCTACTCCCTCCTTAACCGAAAGCGACGTGTGCGGCAGGCGGCTCTGGAGGTGCTAGCGGTCCTGGCCGATATCTCGTCCATCAAAGAGGTCTTAGCCATTGTCTTGGAGACAACCGACGGCGTGGAGCTTGGGCCAATGGTGTTGGAGGCGACTAGTGTGCGGCTATCGCGTTTGCAGCTGCCCATCGTCACGCCCGACAGCGGCGTGCTCTTCGTTTTCAACCAGACTGACCAACCTGGAGCCAGGCGTTTCGGAGCTGATGTGGACTGGATCCATCAGGGTGAGGGCTCTGCCTCTCCCAATACAATTAAGAGGCGACGCATGCGGGCGGCAACCAGCCAGCGCGATGTACTTGGGGGCGCGGAGGCTAAACGCAAGAATGATCCATTCCCTAGGTACGAATATAGGTTTACCATTTCCCAAAGGTTCCCATTTTAAGTGGGATGGTTCTCATCCACATGAACCTCGATTCGCGAAATAGCACTGTTGCGTTAGAACGGCGCTCCATTTATACAATATTAGAAACATAGAAATAGAATTAAGATTATTAATTTGCCCCAAAATCCAGAACTTCCCCACTTCAATAAAATGCATATCCGCAGTTTCAGCCAGGTAAACGAGAGTCTGCATCGCCATTCCTTCCACTCTCCCCCGGAAACGTTGGACATGGCTAGCCCCATTAATGTTAGTCTGTTTCCAATTTCTTTTTATAATAATACTAAACTTACTTCTCCTTAGGACTTTTCGCAAAGATTAAGTTTTGGCGCTAAGACTAATGGTGGTAGGTCTCTTCTGAAGTTTTTGTTCAATGTATTAAGAAGCACTAACCATTATATAAGTAGGAAACCAATCGTTTATTGAACGTCGCTTCTTGGCCAAGGCGTGTTCTGATACTTCCATGGACGGTCGAAGCACAGACAGCACCACCACAACCTGCAGCAGTGGAAGCGCCACAGACAGCTTTATACAGCTTACTTCCCGCACCGGCGGACGACTTGCCGGACCAAGCTCAAGGTTTGCCTTGTCGTCTACCAACGACCGAGCAGTTTGGTAAAACTGGCTGCCCTACTTACAGATTTCCCACCATGAACCAGCATACAGACTTTGTCAACAATTTTATGCGCAGCATGCAGCGAAGCTCCAAGTCCTATTCCGTGGAGGGACCCGCCTACCCAAAGGTCAGTTACTCGATCCCAAAGTCCCAGCAGATGCTCCGCAAGAGGTTCCAGCACAAGGATTCTTTCACAAAGCTGGGGGACGAACCACCTGGTCAGGGTAAGTATCGCTTCTGTACCGGGTCTGCTAATGTTTGCTATATTTCGGTTTTATAGGCTTCGAAAATAACAAATTTAACGAATCCCAATCCCAGAGGAGAAAAGCAACCGGCATTTCCACAGACCACTTGGAATCACTGGACCCCAAGTGCGCCGACGCCACAAAGTCAGTGTAAGAGTCGTCTCCATATCTTATTTGGGGGGCGGGCAACGGAACCCATTCATTCAGTCGGCACAATGATTTACCCCTCCCTGAGTGCGAATGTTAACCTAAATTTTGAAACACCTTACTCCGATCCCTACATATATTTGAGCTCAGGCAGGGTGAAAGTTAAAGGGGACAATTCACGAATTCAGCGAATTTAGTGGTTTCTCTGGCCAGCGCACGCACCCTGCTGACAAAATTGTGGCATTAAAGGTGTCGAGTTCTTTAACCTAAATAATTCAAATGCGCAGTGGAAACCGCGTTGGTGAAATCTAAGAAAGTGGCGGGGGACATTGGGCAGCGTCACTAGCGACGAACCTTCAAGTGACCACTGGCAGCTCGACACGAAATACTTAAAACGATTCAAGGGTCAACGAAATGATTTTCTTAGGTGTATGTCTACAGTTCTTCCCTGGGTTAATTGAATGACCGACTAGTTAAACAAGTATGGATAAGCAAGACCAATTGCGAGCCGTTTCATTCGGACTAGTCTCTTCTATAGAAAAGTTTGCAGGTGAAGGCAACTGCCTTTCAGACCGTAACATTTTGGCTGCCCAAGCAGGTTTACATACATTATAGTAGAAGCTCTCTCGGGGATATGGCAACTTGTTGTATTATGGACTTCGGGACTACCGAAACGAAGGCGGCCGAAGATGGCAATGAGGTCCTTGTCTAGAAGTCGACGACTCGCTTTAAGGCGAATGCCGTAGGACCTGTGGCCAGTTAGCTTAGAACTTTGTTCCTGGTGAGCGCTAGACCATCCAACGACCTTTCAGTGGCGTACTTGGTGCCCTGTGGGTGGCCAGGGGTTCTGACCACTTGGATAGTGTTCGTGTGGTTGCTTGGAAAACGCAATGTCCTGTATTCGTTTGCAACTTTGGCTTTGTTGTCGTTTCCCGGTATGGAAATTCATTTGAAATGACCAAATGGACTGCCGACGAGCATTGCAAACAGTCTGCAAAGTCGTGTTGTTTCAAGCGGACGCCTATTGCGGTTAGTTCGAGTATGTGTAGTGTCCAGTAGAAAATCGCCAGGATAATTATCCAATTGGCCAGCGCAAAACAATGCTGAATGCGTTTTCCTGTGGCGAACAGCCATCTGATCTATTGCGTAGAACACGTACTCTATTCCACTCGGTCAAAGAGTGCATCTGCCCCAGAGTCTCGGAGATACACTCCACATTCCGCGGGGCTTTTTCTGGGCACAGTTCGGTCTGCGGCATATGCTGCACTGACACAGCGCTGGAGTCCAGAAAATCGATGCAAATTGATACAGAAAGCCAGCTCACTGATGATAAGCACTCTTTCGCCGTGTTTCAGCCACCGGAAGATAGTGAAAAAGAGAAAGTTTTTGCTCAATATGTGGAGTCGTGAGTCGCTAAAAACTTCAAACAAATTGCACTAGCCATTTATTCTTTTCCTCGCCCAAACAGAAACACCGAATCAGCAACTAATGGTGTGACAAATGGCTCACCCATTTCCGCAAGTTCTACTAGTTATTCGCAAAAGTCAACCGCCTCGGCGAAGTCCAGCGTAAGCCAAAACGAGATGGGGAAGCGACCATTCTCATCCACTGGCGTTTGGAACGACTGCGAGGTGGAAGTGATGAACAGAGAGCAGAATCCCATCGAAGCTTTCGGGGAATTGGTGGCGGACGGCGTTGAGGCCCAGACTGAAACAGAACCTACTGCCCATGGGGAGCTGCTCAAGCTCAATGGAAGCCTAAATAGCCTTCACAGCAAAACGGAGAGCATCAAAACTCAGCTGGAGGACACTACCCCGCAACTGTCGAGGGCTCAGTCAGTAAAATCGCTGCTCATCGAGGAAGAAATTGAGAGCAGCAACAGTTTCGTCGTAGTTGAAGAAGTGCAGAACGAGCTGGAGTCATTCCCAGCGGAGTCCAAGGAAGTAGTGACATTGCAGGAAGAGCTAGTAACACCGGTAGAAGCTACAAAGCCTGAAAATCATACTTTTGGTCCAAAGGTGGTTCCGATTCACGACGAAATAGTGATCCATTCACGTAGCGTTTCCCTGGACTCTCTTTATGGGGCACGGCCGGCTTCAAAGCAGGGATCTATGGACACAAGCACAAGCACTGCGGACAACACTTCACAAACTGGTTCCCAAATGGGAAACATTAGTGTTCCCGTGAAGGCTCAGCACACGCCGCTCAAACATAAGTCCAAAACTTCGTATTTCCTGCGGGCACAACGGCGAATCTCACCTGCAAAGCAGGCCATCAAAATGTCGCAGGCAGAGCTCTTCCCGCAGAATATGGTGCGATTTGATAGGCCACGTGAGGCTCTGCTTAAAACTTTTGACCAGTTGGACTCCAGCAATTGGGAAGTGAACATGACGGGCTTGAAAAGCATGGTTCGTTTGATCCGCTACCATGCCGACACATTGGACAATCAGATGCACATGACCTGCATCCAGCTCACCCGATCAGTCCGAAATCTGCGCTCCCAAGTAGCTCGAGCTTCCTGCCAAGCAGCTGCGGAGTTGTTCTCGCTAAAGTCCACCACTCTCCAGCAGGAATGCGACGACTTGGTGTGTGCTCTTCTGCACCGCACCGCCGACACGAACCGGTTTCTTCGCGCCGACGCCACTCGAGCCCTGGAGTCGATGGTGGACCATGCTCAGCCGCAGAAGATTCTAAACATCCTTGCGACAAAAGGAGCCCAACACCAGAACGCCTTGGTGCGCACGACATCAGCAAAGCTGCTCTTCAGACTAGTTGAGCGACTGGGCAGTGACCGGATCTATGCAATGGGACGCGAGAGCCGCGACAAGTTTTTTGTGGTTGGTGCGAATCTCCTGCTCGAAGGCAGTCTAGAGACCCGCAGCTACGCGAAGTCCTTGTTCCGGGCCCTATCCGAGCATCATAGTTATCAGCGGCTGCTTTTGGAGGTGATACCACCACGCACATACAGAAATGTTGAGAAGACGCTTAGGAGCATCACACGTTGATCATTGCAGGCAAGATCTGTACAGCATAGGTTTAGTATTCAAAGCCACTGGAAGCTTACAGGATTAGGGCGTTCGCAAGAAATTAGATTCAAGTATTAAGAATAATTATAGTATACAGTACACTAATAAAACATTGGTACACCACAGAGTAAACTGCTTCATTTGATACATCATTTGCTGCTAGATATCCAGCCTATTAAACGATTAAACGTGGTTACTATTGTTTTTGTTTTGATTCGGCAAAACTTAAAAAAACCCTTGTATTAAAAGGGTTTTTTATAGTTTTTCTACATATTGTTATTTAGCTACACATTAAGAGTAAATTGTTGTGGCATCCTAAAGCAATCGCCGTTTGTTGTTGTACCGTTGGTCCGACCTTCTGCTGCCTCCCTGCATGTGCTGGTGGTGTTGCTGTGGCTTTAGCCGGTTGCGGTCCACTACAGAGCTGTCGCTCCGGCGCCGTTGATCGCCGTTGTGTCCAAATGGATTCCGATCGTACGGCTTGCCGTCATGCAAACTGTGGCGGGCGTGGCGCAGAGGAGATGCCAGTGGCGGTGGAGCCTCCATCAAGAACGGATTGCGCAGACGACTCTGGTTAAAGGCAGGTAGCTGCTTGCCGCCCTGCTGCTTGATGGTAACTTTCTTTTGGAACAGTTCAAGGCCCTGGTACAAGTCCATTGCAAAGGGAACCGCACACAGGCGTTGGTATGTGACAAACCCGAAATTCCGTGGGCGCCCGTTGTTGTCCGTCGGTATCCGCACTCCTTCGATGGGACCGGCTTGCAGGAAGACCTCGTAAAGAATCTCCTCCGTCACGCGCTCATCGAGATTGCCGCAGAACAAGGTGCGTTGCTCCTCGTCCTCCTCCTCGTCCTCGTCCTCCAGATACTCAACCGCCTGGTCACCGTTTTCAGTGGGAGGGAAAGGGTAAATGGGATGCTGCGGGTGCTGGCCAGGTGGAACTCCGTAACCGTAGCCATTTATGCACGGTTGCGGAATCGTCATGACCGACGCGTCGCTATACATTTGCTGCATTAGCAACTGCAAGTCCATTTTGCTTTGACAAGTAAACACAACAAAACCAACAGCAGTGATGCCAGAAAACCAATTCGTAAATACCTACAGCACCAAACAGTGCTGTAAACCGAATAAATGGTAACTGCCTGGGAACTAGTTCTTAGTGGGGAGTTTCGGGTCTTTAAACTCTTACGTTAATGAGGTGAAATATAAATTTGCTTTCCGCGGTGCATAAGCATTGCTGATAACAAAGACATTTTAATTAGGCGTCCCTCCGGCTGATGTTCCTGATTGCGGTCGATGCCACCGCCGTCTCTTTTTATTGAGCTTCCCTTGTAGTACTAGCTTTGCACAATTCATCTATCAAGTCGGCGATATAAATCAAAGCACTTATTTACTCAGGGGACCCTTGATACGAGCGCAAACACAGCGTCACAAAATCAATCGAGAGATGAGAATTCGCAACGGATCGACCAAAGTGTACCCTCTATTTGATTAAGTTGAGTGTTTAAGCTTTTTGTTAAGTTTCTTTACGGAGAACAAAACCTTTTGTGAGACGTACGCCTTTTAAGCCATCAAATCGAATTTAAATTTAAGCTGTCAAAGATATATCTATCCTTCTATTGTTGATTTACTGCCTTAAAATATACTTTAATTAACTTTACACCTAAAGAAGCTTTAATTTGCCAATTAGATATTTAAAGCTATAATTATTGGTAAAAAACATGGTTCTCCTGATTTCAGAAGGGGGTAAGGGGATCGGGACATAGTTTAATGAAAATAAGCTTTCAAGCTCATCGAGTGAGTACTAAGTACGTTCTGTGAGCGTTATCAATGCCACTTGAGTTAATATTTCGCGTATCGTCGCAATTTGACAAATAAACTAGACCACCACATAGAGAACTTGCTGTGCATGTGGATTTAATACTTTTCAAATTGTGCACAGCAGAGGGTAGAAAAGCACGTTTACGCGGAATCATCGAAGCTATTCAGTTTCTTTTTACGAGTGGAGCAGTACAATCCGCTCAAGAAATGGGAGAGGTTCCGGAAATCAAGAACTTGCAACAGGTGATCGAGCCTCACTTACCAGAAGGCTGTACACTGGACTCTTACTCCAGTTGTTACCTGACCAAGCCCGGGGACAACTATGGCAGCATTATGTTATCTGTCCAAGCGAAAGTCCGCAGTGCAGACGGTGCTATTCGGGATTTGCCGCTGATAGCCAAGTTGCCACCCCTCACCAACGACCTTTACTGGCAGATCTTCCAGCCCGAGCGGACCTGCATTACGGAGAACGCGGTGTACCAGTACCTAGCGCCGGAGCTGGATAAGTTGCAGCTGGAGTCAGGCATCCTGCCTGCACATATTTTTGACGGCTTCCCCCGATACTACGGTTCCCGCATATCGCTGGACACTCGAACTTCAAAAGTGGATCGGGATGCCGTTCTGGTCCAGGAGAACGTCACTATGCGCGGCTACCGAGCAGGTAACAGACACAGGCCGTACAATCTCGCAGAAACCGTGCTTATTCTGCACTACTTGGCCCAGTACCATGCCCTGCCCATCGCTCTGCGCCTGAAAAAACCGCAGGTGTTCGAGGACTGTGTGCGACCATACTTCAAAAAGTTCAATTTGAATTCTAATATTGATCAGGCGGAGACGGAAATAATGAACAATGAAATTCTAAAGGACATAAAAGCGGTGGCCAGCGACGAACGAGACGTAAATCGCGTCAAAGAGCTGCTGGACATTTTTCAGGCCTTTCAAGCTAGCAAGGACGTGGACGACGGTCCATTTACTACCCTCGTGCACGGAGACCTGTGGATCAACAATTTGATGCTTAAATACGGTATGAGGAATTAGTTCTTAAATCGAAACAGGCTATATTAATGCTTTAAGAGTTTTATCAGGAGAGGAAGGCACTCCGCTCAAGGTGAAAATCGTTGACTTTCAAATCGCGCAGTACGAATCGCTGGTGCATGATATCATCTTTCTGCTGTTTTCGAGTGTGGACGTAAATGTTCTCGAGGATAACTTTTACAATTTCCTGTCCATTTACTACAACGCCTTCATTCAGACCTTGCACAGCGTGAATGTGGACACCAGCAACTACACATACGAATTGTAAGATAAGTTTCCTCAGCCAATGAGATACTTTCTTTTGATCTTTTGCTCTAATTAATTGCAGGTTTCTTGAAGAAGTCCAGCAAACTGCACACTTGCAGCTGCCTCACGCAATCTTTATGATGAAGGTTATACTAGCTGATAACAGTACGATTCCCAAGGACTATAAAGACGTGGACTTCTCGGTGCTGACGAAGAACACTGGAGCAAAAACTATTAAGACAAAATTCGAGGCTATCTTGCGAACAGGAAAAAAGTTTAATATTTTTTACTGATCTGTTTTTAACTGTCACCTATTAAAAATGTGACCATAAAAGGCTGGTCACCGTTATCACATTCTCGTACAGCTGTTTGTTATCAGGCATCGAATTATTGACTTGTTTTTGTGCCCACTTTGTGCAGTCTTCACTTGGATCTTTCACGAGCTTAAGAACATGGGTGCGGACAAGTTGCCCGAAATTCGCGATCTTGGTGAAGTCGTTGAACCAAAGACACTAGAATAATAAGATTCGTAACGCCATACGATGTTTTTGCACACTATTTTTTCGGGCTGGCTCTAGAGCTGGCTCCACGCTCTCTCGAATTTTTGTTCAAGAGCCAGAGAGAGAGAGAGAGAGCGCTCTAGAGCCAGCAGCTCTCTTGTACGCATTCGTGATGCCAATATTTTTAGGAAAAAAAGGACAGATTGAGAGAAAAAACGGAAAAATTAGGCTGAAAATTTCAAAAAAGGATGAAAAAACAGGACAGATTTTGATTCATACGTTGCCATTGTGCCAATGCGTTTGAAATACGTTTCGGGCATTTTATAGGCTTTATTTAAGACAATTTTTACTACTCACTTTAAAGACCTCACTATTTCACTCACTAATATAATTATGACAAAATAATAGTTATTTAATTACTTACAGCTCGAGATTAATTTAGTAGCACTTTGTATCCGAATAAACATAAAAATATATATCCCTTTCAGTGTAGGGTAATCAATTTTTTTACAATAATTTTATATTGTATTTTAAATATTTTTTATGAATAAATATTTTAAAATAAATATAACATTTCAAACACTTGTTTGAATAACATTTGCCCGGTTATTTGTTCAAGAGGGATACCAATTTGATCTTGCAAGTAATCACACTTAAGAACACATACACTACACTCACTGCTCGACCGGTAAGAGAGATTACTTGAACTAGTGCGACTCTAAGCTAGAAGACATGCCTTACAGTCTTCACTAGACTTGTTGGGAATTATAGGGTTACAAGAAAATATGTTTCCTGAAAAAAAATCTATATTATTTGCACTCTGGCAATCGAGTACAAAGTATTCGTTAGTAAAAAGTAAAATCTCGAATTTTGGATTGCCTTAATATGATAATTATTTAATTACATCATAGAAATAATAATAGGTGAATAAATGTACATAATAATACCGAATTATCTTAATATTACTTTATTATAATAATTACTTTATACTAAAGAATATGTCGTTAGAGTATTCAGCCTGCGACGTGGAAAATATATTTGATCTTAGTGATTCTTAGGTGCGCTGGTCCTGCCTCAAGAATTCAATTTTGCAATAAACAGGTTGCATATGAAGTTTTTTATTTATTTAGTATATTTATTAGTGCAAATTATTAGTATACAAGTAAAAAAAATGCAAACTTATATAAATTACCAATTTTCAGTATTTGAAATGCAAATATTATTTTGCAATTTTAGCATTTAACAGTTCCATCTCAGCTTTTCATACATGAGAAAAACTACTCCATAGAATTGGAAAACTAAATGCACCATCTGATATTTTTTTAATATCTGCAAAATACACATTAAAGTTTTTGAAAATATTTTTAAAAGTAATAAAAAACAACGGTGTATAAAACAATTTATTGTAGAGCAATGCATTAAGTGCACAAATGAAAGTTGCGATTTATCATTATGGTTTTACTCAAATAATGACTGTTATGTGCATAAAATTGATACATATTTTAAACAAAATTATAAAAGTTTTACTTTTTAAGCATTGCAAGTGGACTGTGACAGCTGATAAACAAAAAAAGCAAGCAAAACTCAGCATTCTCTCATAAATGAAAAATTAGTGACGACTAAAAATAAATATATACATATACATATACATATATATATATATAGTACAAAAATTTAATAAAATTAATTAAAGAAAAGGAGCAAATTATATCAGAAAGCAATAGTTAGAAAACTAGCTTAGTTGGGGAACATGGAAATATTTTAATGCTTAACATTTATTGTTTAAAGTCGAATCGAAGGTCATAAATATACGTCCCCATCCCCGTGATGTTCCCTGGGTATCAAAAATTACATATATTACAGATAATTAATAATAAAAATATTTATATGTAAATTCGAGCGGCGATTTTAACTAAAGAATATTAAAACAACTTCTTAAAAAAAATAATAATCACGGCATCAATTTTTAAAAAATATTTTATTTTCTCATATTACAACGAAATTAACCAAAACATTAATCAAATTCTTTTCTTAGATCAAAATTGATTTCGGACCGAAAATCGTCTTCTAGCTCGGTTTTCACTCACACAAGCAAGTGAATTCTATTTTTAGATTTTTATGCTTTTAATTTTACGCGAGCGGGAAGCGGTCAATTATTACCGCCACCAAAAAAGTGGCGCTAGTTCAAAACCAATGTGTGGCCGTTAAGCATCTAATTATTCTAGTGTCTTTGATTTAATCAAGAGAAGCTTTCAAGCTTATCGAGTGAGTGCTAAGTACGTTCTGTGAGCTAATACTTCGCGTATCCTCGCAATTTGACAAATAAACTAGACCACCACATAGAGAACTTGCTGTGCATGTGGATTTAATACTTTTCAAATTGTGCACAGCAGAGGGTAGAAAAGCACGTTTACGCGGAATCATCGAAGCTATTCAGTTTCTTTTTACGAGTGGAGCAGTACAATCCGCTCAAGAAATGGGAGAGGTTCCGGAAATCAAGAACTTGCAACAGGTGATCGAGCCTCACTTACCAGAAGGCTGTACACTGGACTCTTACTCCAGTTGTTACCTGACCAAGCCCGGGGACAACTATGGCAGCATTATGTTATCTGTCCAAGCGAAAGTCCGCAGTGCAGACGGTGCTATTCGGGATTTGCCGCTGATAGCCAAGTTGCCACCCCTCACCAACGACCTTTACTGGCAGATCTTCCAGCCCGAGCGGACCTGCATTACGGAGAACGCGGTGTACCAGTACCTAGCGCCGGAGCTGGATAAGTTGCAGCTGGAGTCAGGCATCCTGCCTGCACATATTTTTGACGGCTTCCCCCGATACTACGGTTCCCGCATATCGCTGGATACTCGAACTTCAAAAGTGGATCGGGATGCCGTTCTGGTCCAGGAGAACGTCACTATGCGCGGCTACCGAGCAGGTAACAGACACAGGCCGTACAATCTCGCAGAAACCGTGCTTATTCTGCACTACTTGGCCCAGTACCATGCCCTGCCCATCGCTCTGCGCCTGAAAAAACCGCAGGTGTTCGAGGACTGTGTGCGACCATACTTCAAAAAGTTCAATGTGAACTCTAATATTGATCAGGCCGAGTTGGAAATAATAAACAATGAAATTCTAAAGGACATAAAAGCGGTGGCCAGCGACGAACGGGACGTAAATCGCGTCAAGGAGCTGCTGGGCATTTTCCAGGCCCTTCAACCTAGCAAGGAAGTGGACGACGGTCCATTTACTACCCTCGTGCACGGAGACCTGTGGATCAACAATTTGATGCTTAAATACGGTATGAGGAATTAGTTCTTAAATCGAAACAGGCTATATTAATGCTTTAAGAGTTTTATCAGGAGAGGAAGGCACTCCGCTCAAGGTGAAAATCGTTGACTTTCAAATCGCGCAGTACGAATCGGTGGTGCATGATATCATCTTTCTGCTGTTTTCGAGTGTGGACGTAAATGTTCTCGAGGATAACTTTTACAATTTCCTGTCCATTTACTACAACGCCTTCATTCAGACCTTGCGCAGCGTGAATGTGGACACCAGCAACTACACATACGAATTGTAAGATAAGTTTCCTCAGCCAATGAGATACTTTCTTTTGATCTTTTGCTCTAATTAATTGCAGGTTTCTTGAAGAAGTCCAGCAAACTGCACACTTGCAGCTGCCTCACGCAATCTTTATGATGAAGTTTATACTAGCTGATAACAGTACGATTCCCAAGGACTATAAAGACGCGGACTTCTCGATGCTGACAAAGAACACTGGAGCAAAAACTATTAAGACAAAATTCGAGGCTATCTTGCGAACAGGAAAAAAGTTTAATATTTTTTACTGATCTGTTTTTAACTGTCACCAATTAAAAATGTGACCATTAAAGGCTGGTCACCGTTATCACATTCTCGTACAGCTGTTTGTTATCAGGCATCGAATTATTGACTTGTTTTTGTGCCCACTTTGTGCAGTCTTCACTTGGAGCACGATCTTTCACGAGCTTAAGAACATGGGTGCGGACAAGTTGCCCGAAATTCGCAATCTTGGTGAAGTGGTTGAACCCTACTTTTCTGGGGCCCGCCTCCTTAACTACCAGACAAGCAGTCTGACAAAACCGGGGGATAACTACGGAAGCGTTCTCCTGGCAATTCATGCCCAGCTGCAGAAATCCAATGGCGAGGAGTTTGAGGAGCAGCTGGTGGCTAAAGTGCCTCCGACCGACCCACAGTACTGGCAGTTTTTTCAGCCTGAGCGAACTTGCCTCGCAGAGAACGCCTTTTACAAGATTTTGGCCCCTGCCCTGGCCGTCCTTCAAGATGAAGCCGGCGTTCCTTCCGAGAGCCAATTTAAAGGATTCCCCCGCTTCTATGGCTGTCGCGAATCCCTCGAATCCAACTCCTCAAAGGTAGACCAAAATGCCGTGTTAGTGCTGGAGAATTTGCGCAGCAGTGGCTACGTCTCCAGCCAGAGGCTAAAAGCCTTCGATCTGGCCCATACGCTGCTAGCCCTTAAATATATGGCCGAGTTCCACGCCCTTCCTCTGGCTCTGCGAATTCTCAGACCAGAGATGTTCCGGGAACAGGTGCAGCCCTTTTTCAAAAAGTTCGATTGGCATGCTGAAGCACCCGAGTGGAAGTCCGTAATGAAGGCAGAGACTTTGGAGGACATCCGTCGAGCCACCAACAACGATTCCAGACTAGTAGCCCGTATGAAAGAGTTGTCTGACCAATTTTTTGAATTCTTAGCTGCCGCCCCAGATAGACCCGATGGGCCATTTACCAGCATTATACACTGTGATTTCTGGATAAATAATATGATGTTTCGTTATGGTTAGTATTACTAGCATAAATGATCGCCTCAAAACATAATAACATTCATAAATACGATTTTACGTAATTTATACATTTAAAGAGAGCGGGAAAACTAATCAAATTTTTTGGAATAACAAAAACCCTAATGTTCTATACCTTGCAATCTTTAGGGCCCTCGGGAACACCCATCGAACTGAAAATTATTGACTTTCAGACGGCACAGTACGATTCAGTGGTGCATGACATAATCTCGTTTTTGCTATCAAGCGTTGATACGGCTATCTTGGAGGTAGAGTTTGAACACATGTTGGAGGCCTACTATGAGGCCTTTGTGTGTTGTCTGCGCCGTGTAGGAGCATATTTGGGGGTACACACTTTCAAAGCGTAAGATAAATTATCAATCGTGGGATAATTGAAAACTATCTGATCAGTTTTTCGCAGGTTCCGACTGGAAGTGAAGCGGGTGGCGTATATTCAAGTTCCCCACGCCATCTTTATGACGCGCTTTATATTGGCGGACAGCGGGCTGAGCGGCGATGCAGAGGCTGAGGTATGCCCCAAGCTTGGGGACGTGCTGAAGAATACGGGATCTGAGCGTATTAGCCGCAAATTAAGCCAAATTCTGAACTTGGCCCAAAAGTTTGACATATTGTACTAGGGCAATAAATTGACCCGCAAATGGGAATGGAAATTTGTAATTGACTAATGGCAATTTGATGGAGAGCTCTAATTATTTAAATATTACCTCAGCTGGTTTTGGAAATTGAACGTGGGTAGTACGAGTAGTCAGATTTGGGAATCATGCGCGCGACCTGGGGAACGATAGTAAGCATCTCGACTTGGGTGGTCCTGCTGAAGCTCAGTGAGATCAGGAGCAAGGAGGTCGGTAATCAAGAAAGGTCTCCAATTGTGTCTAACTAATCCGAACTAACCGAATAGAGCTGTTATTATGTGATCTTCACCTATGCGAACTGGACGGATGCCCGACCTCGGTTTATTGTCAACATGACCTTCTCGAATCAGACTGGCATCGGCTCAGTAACCACCATTAACGAGGAGATTGCCTCACCGGTGTCTCGCCTCCTTATCCTTCAGCACTTCGGCCGGCAAAAGCCTCGCACCATATACAACGCTTCCACCAAGCTGTGCGACCTGCAGAATGTCTTCAATTCAGTACCGCTTTTTAAGCCAGCCAAGGACAACATGCTTAAGCAAAGTAACTACACCATGAGCTGTCCTCTGGTCAAAGGCACATACGCCATAAACAACATGCGCGTCAACCCTAAGAACCCACTTCTCAGCCTTCTCTACCAACCGAAGCACACTTTCTCCGTGAGTGGCGGCTTGTTCGAGGAACTTTCAGGTGGCCGCAGACTAAGGGCGCTGTCCACCTATTTCATGACTGGAAAGGTTGTGAAAAAGTTCTGTGGATCCAATGAATAAAGAGCAAACGACATAAATCGGCACACGTTAATCCAACAAGAAAGAAAGCTGCGTTTGACAAGCTGAAGCTTATATACCCTTGTAGTAATGATTTATTTTTAAAATGTGTGTTCCGAATAAGAACTCTCTCTAATCAAAGCAACGAAACTATTATTTATTTTCTAATATTTTCAATTAATATTCGATCGTTTCTACACTCGATCAAATTAAAATCGAAATTATAAATTGCCGAAAAACTTTTGTTAAATACTTAAAACAAAGAATATAAAAAAATACTTTGTTTATAAACAACTAAGACACATTTTTAATTTTTCCGATTAGTCCTATGGATATATAGGAATTCCTATACTTTATCTATATCCTTCACTCTATAAAAAAATTTCTGACTGAAGTCAATATACCTTCTGCAAGGGTACACATATACTTAATCCACTTCGCAGCAGTATAGTATGCCACAACACTTGTACCTGTTAGAAAAGTATGCTACACTAATAAATATCTTATATGTAGTTGAGTGTATGGCTATTATACTAAATTCTACAGTGTTCTGGCTGTCAAAATCTTTTAAGCCTCGCGTAACATAATCGTTTTTATTGTCAATACATTGAAACTGACTAGCTATATTTTAATCCAGTTCGACTCGGCTATTGATCCTGATCAAGAATATATAAACTTTATATGGTCGGAAACGTTTCCTTCTGCCTGTTACATACTTTTCAACGAAACATTTAGAGGCATGCCACTTCACAATCCGATTAAGATAAGTCTAGTTATGGAGCTTAAAACTTCAGCCTTGTTATTTAGGGAATTGCGCCAGAAACATTTAGAGGTATGCCACTTCAAAATCCGATTAAGATAAGTTGAGTTATGGAGTTTAGAACTTCAGCCTTGGGGCATTTCTTAATTTTTTTGAATTTCTACATCATACATCAGAAAAACTACAAAAAAATTAAAAAAAAATAAATTTCTAAATTTGAATGCAGTTTTTTAGAGAATTGCGCCAGAAACATTTAGAGGTATTCCACTTCAAAATCCGATTCAGATAAGTTGAGTTATGGAGTTTAGAACTTCAGCCTGGGCGCATTTCTTAATAATCTGGAATTTGTACATCATACATCAGAAAAACTACAAAAAAATTTAAAAAAAATAAATTTCTAAATTTGAATGCAGTTTTGTAGGGAAGTGCGCCAGAAACATTTAGAGGTATGCCACTTCAAAATCCGATTCAGATAAGTTGAGTTATGGAGTTTAGAACTTCAGCCTTGGGGCATTTCTTAATAATCTGGAATCATACATCAGAAAAACTACAAAAAAATTAAAAAAAAATAAATTTCTAAATTTGAATGCAGTTTTTTAGAGAATTGCGCCAGAAACATTTAGAGGTATTCCACTTCAAAATCCGATTCAGATAAGTTGAGTTATGGAGTTTAGAACTTCAGCCTGGGCGCATTTCTTAATAATCTGGAATTTGTACATCATACATCAGAAAAACTACAAAAAAATTTAAAAAAAATAAATTTCTAAATTTGAATGCAGTTTTGTAGGGAAGTGCGCCAGAAACATTTAGAGGTATGCCCCTTCAAAATCCGATTAAGATAAGTTGAGTTATGGAGTTTAGAACTTCAGCCCTGGGGCATTTCTTCATATTTTTGAATTTCTACAACAGCATACATCAGAAAAAGTACAAAAAAATTAAAAAAAAATAAATTTCTAAATTTGAATGCAGTTTTTTAGAGAATTGCGCCAGAAACATTTAGAGGTATTCCACTTCAAAATCCGATTCAGATAAGTTGAGTTATGGAGTTTAGAACTTCAGCCTTTGGGCATTTCTTAATAATCTGGAATTTGTACAACATCATACATCAGAAAAACTACAAAAATATTTTAAAAAAATAAATTTCTAAATTTGAATGCAGTTTTGTAGGGAAGTGCGCCAGAAACATTTAGAGGTATGCCACTTCAAAATCCGATTCAGATAAGTTGAGTTATGGAGTTTAGAACTTCAGCCTTGGGGCATTTCTTAATAGTCTGGAATCATACATCAGAAAAACTACAAAAAAATTAAAAAAAATAAATTTCTAAATTTGAATGCAGTTTTTTAGAGAATTGCACCAGAAACATTTAGAGGTATGCCCCTTCAAAATCCGATTAAGATAAGTTGAGTTATGGAGTTTAGAACTTCAGCCTTGGGGCATTTCTTTATAATCTTGAATTTCTACAACAGCATACATCAGAAAAACTACAAAAAAATTAAAAAAAAATAAATTTCTAAATTTGAATGCAGTTTTGTAGGGAAGTGCGCCAGAAACATTTAGAGGTATGCCACTTCAAAATCCGATTCAGATAAGTTGAGTTATGGAGTTTAGAACTTCAGCCTTGGGGCATTTCTTTATAATCTTGAATTTCTACAACAGCATACATCAGAAAAACTACAAAAAAATTAAAAAAAAATAAATTTCTAAATTTGAATGCAGTTTTTTAGGGAATTGCGCCAGAAACATTTAGAGGTATGCCACTTCAAAATCCGATTAAGATAAGTTGAGTTATGGAGTTTAGAACTTCAGCCTTGGGGCATTTCTTAATAATCTGGAATTTGTACAACATCATACATCAGAAAAACTACAAAAAAATTTAACAAAAATAAATTTCTAAATTTGAATGCAGTTTTGTAGGGAAGTGCGCCAGAAACATTTAGAGGTATGCCACTTCAAAATCCGATTCAGATAAGTTGAGTTATGGAGTTTAGAACTTCAGCCTTGGGGCATTTCTTAATAATCTGGAATCATACATCAGAAAAACTACAAAAAAATTTAAAAAAAATAAATTTCTAAATTTGAATGCAGTTTTTTAGAGAATTGCGCCAGAAACATTTAGAGGTATGCCACTTCAAAATCCGATTCAGATAAGTTGAGTTATGGAGTTTAGAACTTCAGCCTTGGGGCATTTCTTAATAATCTGGAATTTGTACAACATCATACATCAGAAAAACTACAAAAATATTTTAAAAAAATAAATTTCTAAATTTGAATGCAGTTTTGTAGGGAAGTGCGCCAGAAACATTTAGAGGTATGCCACTTCAAAATCCGATTCAGATAAGTTGAGTTATGGAGTTTAGAACTTCAGCCTGGGGCATTTCTTAATAATCTGGAATCATACATCAGAAAAACTACAAAAAAATTAAAAAAAAATAAATTTCTAAATTTGAATGCAGTTTTTTAGAGAATTGCGCCAGAAACATTTAGAGGTATGCCCCTTCAAAATCCGATTAAGATAAGTTGAGTTATGGAGTTTAGAACTTCAGCCCTGGGGCATTTCTTCATATTTTTGAATTTCTACAACAGCATACATCAGAAAAACTACAAAAAAATTAAAAAAAAATAAATTTCTAAATTTGAATGCAGTTTTTTAGAGAATTGCGCCAGAAACATTTAGAGGTATTCCACTTCAAAATCCGATTCAGATAAGTTGAGTTATGGAGTTTAGAACTTCAGCCTTTGGGCATTTCTTAATAATCTTGAATTTCTACAACATCATACATCAGAAAAACTACAAAAAAATTAAAAAAAAATAAATTTCTAAATTTGAATGCAGTTTTGTAGGGAAGTGCGCCAGAAACATTTAGAGGTATTCCACTTCAAAATCCGATTCAGATAAGTTGAGTTATGGAGTTTAGAACTTCAGCCTGGGCGCATTTCTTAATAATCTGGAATTTGTACATCATACATCAGAAAAACTACAAAAAAATTAAAAAAAAATAAATTTCTAAATTTGAATGCAGTTTTGTAGGGAAGTGCGCCAGAAACATTTAGAGGTATGCCACTTCAAAATCCGATTCAGATAAGTTGAGTTATGGAGTTTAGAACTTCAGCCTTGGGGCATTTCTTAATAATCTGGAATCATACATCAGAAAAACTACAAAAAAATTAAAAAAAAATAAATTTCTAAATTTGAATGCAGTTTTTTAGAGAATTGCGCCAGAAACATTTAGAGGTATGCCACTTCAAAATCCGATTCAGATAAGTTGAGTTATGGAGTTTAGAACTTCAGCCTTGGGGCATTTCTTTATAATCTTGAATTTCTACAACAGCATACATCAGAAAAACTACAAAAAAATTAAAAAAAAATAAATTTCTAAATTTGAATGCAGTTTTGTAGGGAAGTGCGCCAGAAACATTTAGAGGTATTCCACTTCAAAATCCGATTCAGATAAGTTGAGTTATGGAGTTTAGAACTTCAGCCTGGGCGCATTTCTTAATAATCTGGAATTTGTACAACATCATACATCAGAAAAACTACAAAAATATTTAAAAAAAATGAATTTCTAAATTTGAATGCAGTTTTGTAGGGAAGTGCGCCAGAAACATTTAGAGGTATGCCACTTCAAAATCCGATTCAGATAAGTTGAGTTATGGAGTTTAGAACTTCAGCCTTGGGGCATTTCTTAATAATCTGGAATCATACATCAGAAAAACTACAAAAAAATTTAAAAAAAATAAATTTCTAAATTTGAATGCAGTTTTTTAGAGAATTGCGCCAGAAACATTTAGAGGTATGCCCCTTCAAAATCCGATTAAGATAAGTTGAGTTATGGAGTTTAGAACTTCAGCCCTGGGGCATTTCTTCATATTTTTGAATTTCTACAACAGCATACATCAGAAAAACTACAAAAAAATTAAAAAAAAATAAATTTCTAAATTTGAATGCAGTTTTTTAGAGAATTGCGCCAGAAACATTTAGAGGTATTCCACTTCAAAATCCGATTCAGATAAGTTGAGTTATGGAGTTTAGAACTTCAGCCTTTGGGCATTTCTTAATAATCTTGAATTTCTACAACATCATACATCAGAAAAACTACAAAAAAATTTAAAAACAATAAATTTCTAAATTTGAATGCAGTTTTGTAGGGAAGTGCGCCAGAAACATTTAGAGGTATTCCACTTCAAAATCCGATTCAGATAAGTTGAGTTATGGAGTTTAGAACTTCAGCCTGGGCGCATTTCTTAATAATCTGGAATTTGTACAACA